GAAATGTCTGGAAGAAGTGAAGAAGAACTTTCACGCTTTCTGCGGAGAACCCCCGCCAATGATGTGCCGCGGGGGCTGCGGCATGCGAGGGCGGAACCCGAAAGAAGCGATTCCACGGCACCCCCTGCACAGCGCCGAAGGGTGGAAGAGGCACCTGCACGACAACGCTGGACCCTCACCAGCACGGTGAAAGACGTGCTGCTGGAGGGAGAAGGGCCAATTCCTGACATTAAATTGAACGATTTCCTCCGTGATAAATTAAGCGGCAGGGGAGTCGTGGAGGCCAACGAGAATCTCTCAATTGAGAATTTTATTGCGCTACCCGAGGCGTTCATCACGAATGAGAATGATCGGCGCCTAATACTGTCATTGCCGTTTTTCAAAGCAATTGAAGATGCACGCAATCTACGTGCAGATGCACGCAATCTAATGGAGCATAGAGTGGGTACGCTCCAACGCTGGAAGGAATTTGAACACAAGGAGATCGTCTCCAATGTTTCATGGGCAAAACTCGACGCGGCCCTCGCCGCGGTGGAGGAGGCAAACGAAAGTGCAACTCGGATTCAGGCAGTTGGCAGGCTGCCGATACCGAAGGAATTCTACGACTCTGTGTTCAACGCAAAATGGAGTCACGTCTTGGGATTTCCCGAGGGCGAGGGGGATGCGATGGTGATGCGAATGGAGGTGCGTGAGGGCCAACGGCCAGCGCTGTCGTGGCAGTACGCGGTGGAGGGTGTAACGCTTTTACCGGTGGAAGATGCAGACCAGTTTCGTGCACCACGTCTCAGGCTGACGATTCTCTCATCCGAGAAGGGCTGGCCGTACTCGCTACAGCAGGGAAAAACTATTGCCGACTGCTACGTCACCCGTGAGGTGGAGCGGGTGTGGCGAATTGTCAAAGGCGATTTAGACGGAGCGTTCGGCCCTAGAGGTCTACAGTATTTTGAAGTGAGGCGGCGCCTTTTGATTGGAACGCCCGGGATCGGCAAATCGATGGCTGCCGGCTCTTACCTCCTCCACCAGCTGCTGCACTACGATGATACTAAACTCCAGGTAGTTGTCTACTGCTTTGGCGCAGGGCTGGCGTACGTGTTTGACAAGACGAACAAAACGGTGGCAGAATACGTAGATGGAAAGGAAATTATCATTCTAATTAAAGTTTTGGCTGGGCGTGGGATAAGAGGGTATATTATCTACGACGTGGATAAAAAGGGTCAAGGGCCGGATGGTTTTCCGTCGCCGGCAACATGGGGCTTCATTCTGTTGTCGTCCCCAAACGAAGATAACTTCAAATCGTGGGGAAAGCAAAAGGATGCCAACCTCATCGTTATGAATTGCCCTGACGAGAATGACGTGAAGGCAATGTGTGCCTGGGAGACGCGTGCTAATTCTGCGCAGGTCCAAAAGAAGCACTGGGAGACGATCAAAAAACGCATGTATTACGTGGGACCGATTCAAAGATGCATTTTTGATGAAGATACATATGGCACACGCTTGGTCGTGACTACGCAGGTCTTGGGAGGGGCCAACGCTTCGAATGCTCATAATTACATTTCTATTGTAGATATGACAATGTGGCCTGCGAATGACGCGTCTCACAAGCTGGTGAAAGCTGTCCGGGTCACAGTAAAAGGCGCTGCTGAGACGTTTGTGAACCTGCCGGTTTGTTTACACCTCGGACACAGACTACTCATAAAGTTGACAGAGGTGGGCAAACAGAGGGACGTTTTGTATCAACTATGGAGGTTAAGGGATCTCTTTTTGCCCGAACTTCTGGAAAAGTATGGCGTGCACGCATTCACGGACAGGGGCTTTGTGGATAACATAAAAAGGAAAATTAAGGAGCTGAGGCCATCAAGGGTGCGCCCGGGACGTCCATGTGTGCTGCAATCAAACCCTGAAACGCATCCAGGCAAGTCAGTTCCATTGACGCTACTGGAATTCAAACCCCCGAAGCTCGTTCTGGAGTGTGGGGTGTTGTACGTGCCGGACTCGCAAATCTTTCCGCTGATAGACGGCTTTTTCTTCGTCAAGTCACCGCGGAAGACGATGGTTGGGCTGCAGGCGACTGTGAGGGGTGAGCATCACACCCAACCCGGCACCGTGAAGCTGTTCATGGAGCTTATGGCAAAGTATTTCAACGGCTGGGAAACGTTTGCCGCAGACTTGTCGTGGGAGATTATTTACGTGCAGCATCGAGAGAGTGAGGCAATAACGACGTGGCAGAGATGCGAGAATTCCACGAATGTGCGCGAAGAGAAAGATGCGGCACAGAGAAGAGAAGCAGAGGAAGAACAAGAGGACGAGAAAACGAAGGCGAAAAAGAAGAAGGAGAAGGAGGAGAAGGAGATTGCAGTCTGCTGGAAAGAAAATGCATATCAGTACCAGGTGGCGATATCCGCAGAAGATGTCAGGCCTGAAAACAATGCCCAAAGACGGCAAGGAAATTATTACTTTAATGAATTTGGGAGTCGATTTTCTTGTTTAAGCACGTTTTAGGGAATACTTTTTGCATTGTTGGTTATTTGTGTGTGAATAGGGAGGCAGCAGTTGGGGAATCACTCTGCCGCGCGCTGGCGAATGATCATCATGTCCAGTGCTATCGCAGTAGCATCTACTTTTTGTTTGGGTGTGTACGAGGTTGCAACAGGAATGATTGCAGTTTGTGGATGTGTGCCAACAACACTTCATAAATAATCTCCTCTGCTTCTTAGTTTACTGCTGTGCGTAGGGAGGGAGAGTTTGGGCAAAAAAGTGTGTGGTTTTGCAGGCTGAGTGGGTTTACCAGCAGTGAAAAAAGCAAGCATGTTCTCTAGCACACAGCCATCATGTGTGTTCAGGTGCGGAGTGGATGACCGGCATCAGGGCACTGGCGTATTGGGCGCGGCGTGACGGCCCAGCGGCGGCGTTTGTTTTTGTTTGATTTTCCTTCCGGCACCGTTGCCGCCGTGTGAGTAGTTGCGGTGTGGATGGCA